TTTGTCAGGTCTTACCACAGAGGTACAAACTTGATGTTGGATGAATCAAGCTTGGATTGGGTTCCTTCAACAACTTGCCTTACAAAGCAGTGTTCAGACAAAGTGTAAATAGTCCCTTAAGACGGTTTACAGAATGCTTGAAAGGGGAGTTGGGAGAAGCAATACTCACTGGTTCACAAAAGTTGTCTGGTCTGGATTTTCATGAAGCCAGCTCTGTCTTTGTGCTCACTGGGTTTTAGAGTCTTGGCTGGTCAAAATGAGGCTACCACATACCTCTTCTCTTGGGAGGCTGGTGGTCATCACACAGCCCAGTAAAGCTCTACCCAGTTCCCAGGAATGGCTGTCCCTCCATCATCCACGACCCTCTTCTGCATCCTGATGTATGATAATGATAGATATTATTGACAGTGATTGATACTGTGATAGTGATTGATATTATTTCATATTTTTGTGGTAACATTAAGCTTTACTCACAGGTCTTCTCTCTGATCAGTGGGCTACCCACTTGGCATCATGGTCTGCTTACTTTTGTAATAAAGCAGAAATAGGCATTAATGGCATTCTGTCAGATTAGGAAGCTATGTCTAGCTGCAAAATCATGGAGCATGGCTTACAGATGGGTTCTGGGATTGGGGTCCAAACAGACCTCAGCAGGCTGATCTCCCAAACCAAAAGCAACAAGAGGATATTCATTGGAGATTAATGTGAATTTTGTGTAAGCAGTGGCTGGAGAGCTGGTTCTGCCATCATTATTTTGAAGATGTAATTTTTAAGAACAACAATCACTGACATTTGTGACACACTCACCAGCTACATGGAGACACTGTGTGATTTCCTTTCTATGTGTGTTTGAAGTAATGTGTGAATAATGGTGACCATCACTGTTTAACATGCGTTTTATAAAGATTAAAAGCTTGTCATAACAGCTTTAGTCATTATGTAGCTCCGCCTCCAAAGGGAGTGCCAATAAATGGTGTGCCTGAAATATGAAGAAAGAGAAGAAGAAGGAAGAGGAGGTAGAGGGAGAGAAGGGAGGAATAAAAATAGAGGGGAGGAGGAAGGGAGAAGGTAGGGAAACTTTATCAGAAGAAATTTGGAATGGGTTAAGGAAATAGCTTAGTTCAGTTGCCAGAACCCACATAGAAAAGCTAGGCATGATAGCACGTGTTTGTAATCCGATCACTGGGGAGGGTGAGACAGAGAGATCTCTTGGGCTGGTGAGTCAGCTCCATCAAAGAAGTGAGCTCCAAGTCAGTATGAGACTCTGTTTCAGAATCAAAAATCAAAGGGGACTGATCCTGAGAAATGACACCCAAGGTTATTCTCAGGTTTCCATGTCTGTGTATACATGGACGGTACACAGGCATGCATGCAGGCATGCACACATAGGCACCTGGGAATAAAAGTTATGGAGAAATACATGGCCTATTCTCTTTTTATATATAATGTCACAGTCTAGACACTACATTTTGAGATTTAAAATTTGCATCCTTAATTGTGTGCAGAGATTGGACGAAGTCACAAAAGAGCAGGGAGAATAAGAAGGCGTTTGGGGTGTTAGCCAGGTACTGGAAGCTTTGGGAAAATTCTAAAAGTGTCCTTCCAGGGAAAAGGACTGGGGCTCATTGTCACCTTCTTCAGAGGGATGAAGTTCCAGGAAAGGAAGGTCAAAAGGGAGAAATGGGTAAAATCAGGGGCATTGCTGCTACTTTGTAGCTAGGAAGAATGTACAACAGGGTCAGTGGCTGTAGAATATGCTGCTGGGGGTCTATGGCACCCAACCATCCTAACAGAGAAGGGAAACACCATGGGCACTCCTTAAGAAAGATGCCATTTGCTTTCTGTTTTCTTAAGAGGAAAAAAAATCTGATGGATCCAATCAGAGAAACCAGATGTTTTCATTTTATAATGTGCCCGTTTTAATTATTTTAGAATCAAGATGTTTTCTGTAAGTGAAGGTAGAGGAGTTATGGAAAGAAACCTGATTCTAACTATAAATGGAACAGATGGGATGGTGGGAATAAAAACAAATTAAAACAATATTGCAGGGAGCTCTCAACTTTCATTTAAAAAATATATGATGATATTTTTCAACTTTTCACATTCGACCAATTCATATATCGAGTGACAAAATGAAAAACCAATTTCAGCTGTGTGTAGTTTAAACATTTACCTAAATGATCTGGACTTACCCCATCTAAAAGTCCAGATGAATGCATTAAACTGCTAATTGTATTTTTCTATGAATTACAATTTTATATTTTAAACTATATTAAGACAGGGTACAGTAATGTTTGATGACTTTTGGGGTAGAAAATCGAACTGGACGAGGGTCTTAATTAGAGCATTAAATAGTATAGGTTTAATTAGCTCCCATCCCTGATGAAAGATTTGGTCAGCTGCCAAATATTATTCTTTCTGTCCCTCTACCAAGGCTGAAGTGTGACACTATAGGGCTATCTGATAGAAGCTGTCAGACCTGATGACCGGTGGCACTTGAACAAAAATTATTGGAAAACCTGTTTTTCTTCCTGTCATTATTTTTTTTCATTTCAATTTTGAAAGTTTTCCCTACAAATCCCCCTCTTAATTTAACTTTTGTCAGGGAGGGGAGGATGATGTAACTTCCCTGAAGGCTTAGGGAAACCTGGGCGATGTCTAACTCAGGCACATGCTGTCATTCTAATGTGGTGGTTTCCTTCTATACCTCTACATTCTCTGCCTTACGACTTGCCTATTAAATTCTGTCTGACTGGGACATTTATTTCTATAGTCCTAGAGGATAACATTTTGTTTATTTGCTTGCTTGCTTACTTGGTTTTAAGTAAGACATTATGTGTTTTATCCTTTAAATTATGGTTTGAGGCACTGGAGAGATGGTCAGTGGTTAAGAGCAGTTACTGCTTTTCCAGAGAACTGGACCTCAGTTCTCAGTACCCATTCTGAAGGACCACAGCCACCTGTGACACCCACTCCAGGGGATCTGATGCCCTCTTCTGGCCTCCAAAGTAGCCTGCACTCACTCATGTGTACATAATTCCCTAGCCCAGACACAAGAATACACATAACTAAACATAAAAATAAACCCTTCAAAAATGCTACAAAATATGGAGGCGCAACACAAAATGTTGCTCAAGTCATTCAAAGCTCCTCCACTCTCTCACTGTAACATTTTATTTCTCTGGGCATCTTTTTGTCTATTCATGGCCAGACTTACCCATGTTAAACATGATGCAGCCTTCTGTCTTGATAGGGTGTTGTCATCTAATGAGTGTATTTTGGCCTAAAATACTTAAAAAAAAAAAAGAAAGAAATTTCAGGAACCACCAAAGTTCAGAAAGTAGCAAACACCATCGCTATCTGGTTTCATGTTGGTTTTTAAAGCTCAGGCATATTTGTTGTAGACATTTTTTTTTTTTTTTGAGTGATGAAGGAAAATAAAGCAATTCCTCTTGTGACTTTTCTCAGGGACAGGGAGGAGACTCACCTCTTTTCTTAGAGACGGTTTAATGTGTGCTCTTCTAGCCCGTGCCCTGTACTTTCCCTACCATGTTTTCATGTGTGTTCACTAAACTGCCTTTATATGAAGACAGCGAGAAAATGCTTTATACCTTTATTTTAAAGAAATCAAACCACACCAGCCTCTCCTTTTAAACTGTTTTTTAACCTCTGTTAATAAATATGAGACAGTCTTTCCTATGCTAACCATATGCCTGTCAATGTTTATATGGCATATGATCTTCCTGGTAGTTTATGGTTTCAGTGCCTTAATATAAATTTCTAAGAGATCTGGAATTCATTTTGACATACTTTAAGAATTTATAGATTTTTTTAAAAAATTTTTTATTAGATTTATTCATTTTGTTTTATGTGTGGGTGTTTTACCTGCATGTATGTTTGTGATCATATATGTGCTTGGGGCCTGATGAGGTCAAAAAGGGCATTGGATCCCTGGGCCTGGAGCTATGAACAGTTATGAATTACCACATGTGTGCTAGAAATCAAACCTGGATTCTCTGAGGGCTCTGCTGAGCAGTTTCCCCAGACCAAGACTTCATATGTTTATAAAAATACCTCTAATACTAGTACTTAGGAAGCGGAGGCAATGAGACAGAGAGCAGCCTGGGGTGTGCAGTAAGTTCAGTCTCTGCTTGAGCTACATTGGCAGATACTATCTCAAGAATTAAAATAGTTTAAAGGTACTTTTAGTAGATATGATGAAAAATGCTATATTCGTATATGAAATGTCATAATGAAACACATTTTGTGAAATTAAAATGTACTACTAAAGCATTATGAGAAAAAGTAATGCCTATGATTATTTGTGTTATATGTCAATGCTATAACTTTTTTTTTTTTTGTTTTTTGAGGCAGGATTTCTCTGTGTAGCCTTGGCAGTCCTGGAACTCGTTGTAGACCAGGCTGGCTTCTAACTCATCGATCTGTCTGCCTCTGTCTCCCAAGTGCTGGGATTAAAGGTGTGTAACTCCTTGAGACAATTTTCCTCATTCCCTCACTTTTACTTTTTTTTTGAGATTTTACTTTTTAACTTATTTTTATTTTATGCTTGTTTATTTTTATGTTATCCATTGTTTTACCTGAATGTATGTCTGTGCACCACATGCTACAGAGAGTTGTGAGCTGCTAGATAGGTGCTGGGATTCAATCGCAGGTCCTCTGGAAGAGCAACTAGCACTCTTAACCATTGAGCCATCTCTCCAGTCCTACTTTTACTCTTTATAAAGGAAAGCACAAAAGATGGCACCTAATTTCCTGACTAACTGAAGTAACTGTAACCCCAGTGTTGTACTGCACAAGCAGGGAACTTTCTCATTGTGCATGGCTGGAGCTTTACACCCATTTAGCAGTCCATTCCTCTCCGTGCCCCAGAAGTCTCTGGCAGACAGTACTACTGTCCCATTCACTGCCCTGGACTACTGTGAGTAGACTTATGTGATATTAGACTTCTATAACTGGCTTTGTTTTCCCCCCATATCCAGACCTCAAGAAACACTCATTCAGATGAAGACAAAGATGGGAACTGGGATGCTTGGGGAGACTGGAGTGACTGTTCCAGGACCTGTGGGGGAGGAGCCTCCTATTCTCTGCGGAGGTGTCTGACTGGAAGGTCAGTGGTGGCTTGCTACTCCTGTGGGGATTGTGTCAGTGACTCTGGGTGAGTGAGAAGGGGAGAAGGTGTGGGTCTGAAGTGTCCAATTGGGTGACTTACTATCTACCATAAACATCAGCCAGTCTCAAGTAACATATTTAAATGGGAATGATCCTACTCCCTGGCATTTCACTGTATCCTATTTACATTAATGGTTACAGGGTTCAGGAAAAGCAGACACTTTGGGCCTAAGTAAGTGAAGGCCTGTTAAGTTCAGTTGCTGGCTTGACAAAAGGTTATGTCATCTACAACTATGGCTTCTTTCTTGGTCACTTACTGTGAATCTACCATGGGTCAATAAGGTGAGGCAGGAACTGAGGAGCTGACATGGGGGTAGAGGTGCTTACTTCACAAGCACAAGGACCCGAGTTCAGATCCCTTGAACACTAGAACACCTACAAAAGTCAGGAGTGGCAGTGCACACTTGTGACCAGTCCAGGGTGGGTAGAGGCATGTGCATCACAGGGGCCTGCTGGTCAGCAAGTCTAGCCAAAGTGGTGAACCTATGTTCGGTGAGAGATCCCGCCTCAAAAAATAAGATAGAGAGCTACAGGGAAGATGCTGGACATGGACATCTAGTCCTCACTCGTGCACACACAGGTGAGTGTACCCGCATATTTAAATACATACAACACCACACACACACACACACACACACACACACCTTCACTTCTTAGGTCCATTATACTAAAATGTAAGCTCAGTTTGATTTAAAAGTCCACAAGTTTCTGGGAAAGCTGTACTTGCTGTTTTTGAAGTTGTGACTCATGTTTAAACCTGATTCTTTGATGAGGCACAGCCTCAGGTCGATGGGCTCTCAGCTTCTGATCCCAGATTTTAAAAAATCCTAGATTATGGCAGTCATCTTCACATGTGGGATGCTGCTGGGCAGAAGAGTAACTGGCTTTTACTGATTATCTGCAGCTACAGAGAAGAAACACAAAGGGGACATATTTTACTCTGTTCAGTTGATGTTTCAAGCAGATCTTATGCAGGCATATTAGACAATGACTAAATATGTCCTTCAGATTCCTTGAGACAGTTCAGGGCATGATAGATGAAGAGAACAGAGTCCTTTGAGAAGGAGGACACACTGATCTACCCAGGATGGCATGGCGAGGCCGCTGGAGCATGGTGATTGTTCCATCTAGATAAAATTTTGACAGAACATCAGTGTATGTAAATGGATATAGAACTGAACCCAGTCTCAGCCTAGAAAAGATAAGGCCTATGTTTGACCCCCCTTCCCTTTTCTTTAGTTTTTGTTGGGAAATCAAGCCTCCTCTACTCTAAATATGACTTTAGTACTCTTAACATTGTGATATGCAAAAGATTGATGGACACACACACACACACACCATACATACATATACATACACACATACATACGGACATACATACATACACATACAGAGAGAGAGAGGGAGGGAGAGAGACAGAGAAGAGACAGAGAAAGAGAGAGAGACCTGTTGTCAGAGGACCACATGGACAAAGAGAGGGCAGTGACTTCTATGGTGAAGGGTAAGTTCCTCTCCAGTGCTTGTCAGTCACTGAGGGGAGAATGGTCAACTTGAAAACTGAAGGTTTTCAGTTTTCTGTGTAACCTCCAAATGTGAGGAATATGAATAGCTTGAATTCTATAGAGTGACAATAATAGAGTGACAAAGAAGTGGTATTTGTTCTATTGTCTTCCTTAAAACAATATATCCTGTACTTGTTAAACAGAATTGAAAAGGATATATTAATGGATTATAATTTTCATCCCCTCATCATAGAACCAAAATGTTTACGTATCTGTATCTTCTAGATTCATTTAAAATTGTGTTGGACTTTCTTGGAAATGAATCTTGCCGTGTGATGCATCTCAGGATGAGTGTGGGTTTGTGGCTTCTTCATCCTGAGTGGGCTGTGTGTAGATACGTAAGGCATTGCTCCTTCCCTCCTTGCTTCCTTCCTCTCTCCCCCTCTCCTTTTGTTCCTTGAATTGGAAAAAAAGGTGGTCTGTCTCAGATTGTTTTATATCCAGGGTAAGAATAGACATCTGCAGGGTGCTCCCTTTTTCCTGCATGGTCTCAGTTCCTTCCAAAGTATTTCCTGGCGTGCGTGCGTGCGTGCGTGCGTGCGTGCGTGCGTGCGTGTGTGTGTGTGTGTGTGTGTGTGTAACTTTCATGTTAGAGACATCTCTACTGGTTATGGGGGATGTAGGATGTTTTCTTTTGGATTGTTCTGCCTTTTCAGAGAAGACTCCTCTGATTCCATTATCCAAAAAAACAAGGGGCAGAGAGCTTGAGTCCTCAGGACTTGAGTGTTTAATTATTGCTCAGTCCAGACACTATAGTTTAAACTCTGGAGATAAGAACGTGGTCTTTATTGTGGTTTTTATTAAGGATTTATTTTATTATTTGTTTGTGGTGTGTGTGTGTGTGTGTGTGTGTGTGTGTGTGTGTGTGTGTGTGGTGTGTTTGTACATACAGATGTCCCTAGAGGTACAAAAGACAGGGTCAGATCTTCTGGAGCTGGAGGTATGGGTGGTAGGGAACTGGGTGCTAGGATTTGAACTCAGGTCCTTTGAAAGAATATCAGGTGCTCTTAATCACTGAGCCAACTCTCCAGCCCCCACAATCTTTTTTTTTCCATTATTTTGAGAATTTCATGCATGAATATAGTGTGTTTTAATCTCTCCCATCAGTTCCCGCTTTCCCTCCCAACCTCATATGATCCTACCAGAAAGTTCTAGAGGGTAACCAAGAGCAATGACCACAGTCTGTATTGTTTTGGAATTTATGGGACCCCAGTGACCAACAACACAAAGAGAGGGATCTGTATCTGGCATTCAGCTTTTTGTTTGATAGCCTATGTATGACACCTGGGAGAGGTATTTTTCCTCATATAGGGTAACTCTATTTATTTATACATATATATATATATACACATACATATATATATGTACACACACACACACACACATCCACTTATTTTAGGAAGCTTCTGCAATTCTAGATTCCCATATGGCTTTTTCAAAGAACACAGCCTTTTGCTGCAGTAAGGGATGGAATCTAGAGGCTGACTACTCCAGGATGTGATGTCCTTGCTCTTTGTTTTTAATGTTTATTTTTGCACATATTAGTTATATGTGATAATGAGCTTAATTGTGACATTTCATACAGGCATATGGATGTCATCAGTGTTGCTTACAGGAGTATGGTACCTCGACAGTGGCTATACCACTGATGAAGATGTCTTTCCCTCTCCAGCACCCACTGACTGGGTGGGCAGGGCCTATGAGCCCCTCCCCCAGTATGTTCATGGGCTCAATCTTGTGCAGGTCTTGTCAAACAATTACAGCAGTTGTGAGCCAATGTAGTGTAATGTCTGTGCTGTCCCTGGAAGACAGCATTCTACAGCACTCCTCCCCTCTCTCTGGCTCTTGTATTCTTTCTGCTCCATTTTCTATAGTGCTCCCCTGCACGCTGGGGGCCTGATGCAGATATCCCCTCTATGGCTGAACTTTCAGATGTCACTTATTCTTATCATGTGACCAGTTGTGAGTCTCCACACTCACTATTGTCCACTGAAACCAGAAACCTCCCTGACCACAGACAGCCTTCTGTGAATTCCTCAGAGAAAACGAAGTCATTTCTGGCAATCCCTGGCTATTGCATCAGAACTTAACTTTTACTGGTCTACAAAGCCAAAGATAGTCTTAGTATAAAATAGACAATTGAGATAGGCCCCTATTGCAGAATTTGAATTTGAATATAAATATTCTTTCCTATCCAAGCAAAGTCTAAAGGACATTGAGAGAAGAATTTACATTTTTTTTTGTAGGACGTTTTCCAAGAAATAAAAGAGAATATATTAAAATTCTTCTTGTGAATCAAGTATAACACTAATAACAAACCAGAAAAAACCATACAAAAAGAAAACTATAGACCAATATAGGTCGTAAAAGTAAATGTAAAAGTTATAAATTAAATATGACCAATTACTGTTCGAAAATCTATAAAAGAATCATGCATCAAGATGGGTTTAGTTCAGGGTTGTAAGGATGTCTCAATATTAAAAATTGAGTCAATGTAATTTTAATAGTGATATAATTCAATATTAATAGTCACCAATAGTCAATATTCAGTCAATGTAATTTTAACAGGCTAAAGAAAACATGTATGTCAATGCAGAGAAAGCATTTGAAGAAAGTCAACACCACTTTATTACAGAAAACTTTTGGGAAGGGGGGGGGGCAAAAGGACCCGTAGCTAGCTAGCATAGATTTAGCATCGAAGCCCTATGATTTCCACCTAACATCAGGAATGAGGCTCTCGAGGGAGGGAGGCTGCTCTTCCCTCTGTCTCTCAGATCAAGACTCATTTTCACACAGCCAATAAAGTAAGGGAAGGAAGGAAGAAAGAAAGGAAGGAAGGAAGGAAGACCTCTGTTTGCAAAGGATATTGCTATCTACATAGAAAATCTCAAAGAATTTATACAATAACTTATGCAACTAAAAAGTGACTTTAGCAAGGCCTTGGATGCAGAATAAACATACAAAAATTTATGGTATTTCTCTTACTAGTAGTAAATGGACAATCACTAAAATTTAGAACACTATGTCACTTATAATCACGGCCCCCCAAACTTAAGTATAAATCTATCTGAGCGTATAGAGGACAGCGAAGTACTAATTACAGATGGGAGTGGGCTGAAGGGAGGGTTCAGTGGATAGGAGCCCCTGCTGCATTTGCAGAGCCCCCACGCTCAGCTCCTGGCACCCACATCAAATGGCTCACAACTGCCTGTAACAGACTCCAGGAGATCTGATGACTTCTCTGGCTCCTGCAGATACATTCACCCTCCCACATACATGAGTAAATAAATAAATAAATAAATAAATAAAAAGATCCTGAAAAATAAAAAAGAAAGATAGAAATACACAGAGAGATAGTTTGCTCACAAGTTGCCAG